TTTAAAAAATTCCTATCTAAGATGATAGCCAGAAATTAAATTAAAAAAATTCTTTAATGTATACAATCGGAAGCCCACACTCCATTTTTTTTTAAATTGCTCTCCCTCTTTCAATCTCGACATCTTGCCTTCTCTACATCAACTTAATTCTAAAACCTAACTCACATGTAGACAAGCACTTGCCCTCTCTTGCAACAATTGTAAGTCAGGTTGAGGGCAAGCTCTTGTCAAGTGTACACGTGCAGTAATTTTTTAAAAACCTTGAGTCAGGTTGCCAAGTGTATATAGAGAGAAATTTTTTAATTTAATTTCTAACCATGATTTGAGAGAGGAATTTTTAAATTTTCAACCAAGCATTTACTTGGATGCCATGTATAGACACACATGGAACCCAAAAACTTAAATTAACATTCGCTTCTGGCACATCAGTAGCAGGACATGTGTAGTTAATATAATGTTTTTTTAAAATCTTAAGGTGCAATTTTGTCTATGAACTATTCTCTGAGGAGTACTTAATGTCTAAAAATATTTGTCGTAGCAATTTTGCTTCTAAAGTAATTAAAACATAGCATATTTTCTCTTGACATTAAATGTCCCAATGTTGATAGTTAAAAATGCTGAATGAGACTTAAGCTTGACAAAAAAATGCCATCCATCATGCCAAGTGGGTTTGAAAATATGTTACGTTTTAATTAATTTAGAGGTAAAATTGTAGCACAACAAATAGTTTATGACACTTGGTACTCATTGGAGCATAGTTTAGGAGCAAAAATGTGCTTTAACTCAAATCCATTTAGCATGACAAGTCGCATTTTCGATCAAACTTAGGTCCCAGTCTCCATTTTTAACAATCAATGTTGAGGTATTTAACATGAGAGGGAAATATGCTATGTTTTAGTCAGGGTTAAATGGCATTTTTACCCCTCAACTATTGACTGAGTAGTATTCGATATCTCAGTCCACTAACTCGCAGGGTCAGATTAATATGAACCGTGCCGAGAAAGCTCATTTCTGGGGGTAGGCTTTACCACACCCTCCTAGAGGGGTTTATCACGCTGCTGCATTCCCAAACTTGAACTTAAGACCTAGTTAAGCTAAGACAACTCCAGTACTAATCAACCTAAGCGTTCAGTGATATCTTTACCTTCTCGTTTGGCTTGATGAAGATAATGGTTGGTCTCCTCTAACTAGCTATTATCATATTCTAGTTGATAGCAAGTTGATACTTGACTCTATGGATATCTTTAACAAGCAATTACAAATCTAACTATTTTGGAACTTGTTGATGGCTTCCCCTTGGAAAACCCTAAAGGAGAGCCCCTCTACTCGTTGCTAATTAAGCATCATGAGAGGTGAGAATGTCTTTTCATGTTCATGGTATTTTGGACTTGGTTTGACAAGGAAGCAACTATGGGCAGACCTTTTAATAATGTGAGACTTGAAAGAATTAGATCAAAGAGAAAAATTGCAGCACCCATTTTTTTGATTCACATTCCGCACATTTGCTCATCATGAGTGATCTAGGCCTTTCATTTCAATTCAAAATCATCTTTACCATTGATTTTAAGTTAATGTTTAAATATTTTAAATATTATATTTGTTAAAATAATTTTTTTAAATTATAAAAATTAATGTTAAATTTTAACTATCCAAAGTATATTTAGATAGTCAATTTAAAAAATTATAAAAAAATTAATATTAAATTAAATTATCATCTGTTTTTACTGTTCAGAATACATTTGAATAGTTAATTTCTAAAAGTTATAAAAAATGTATATTAAATTGGACCATGTAGATTAAATTTGCATTGATAAAATTGATTATGAACTTATTTATTAAAAATTGACATTTTTATGCATTTTCAATATGATAAATATAAAATAAAAATATAAACTTAAATTTGGACTGTTTAGATTCTAACAAAGGTGATGCTTATCATAGTACTTATCATCTAATGAGCACTGAAGAAAATAGTTTAGATTTAATATTAAAAATTTTAAAATTTTTATTTTAACAAATATAATATTTAAAATATTTAAAGATTAATTTAAAATCAATGTCAGAGATGATTTGAGTTGAAATAAAGGGCCTAGATCACTCAATTGAGTGATGAGCATGCGGTGCTCCCATTTTTTTTTTATTTGTGAGTGTTCGTTGTCTTTATTAATTATGCATTCCTTTCCTATTTTTTTCCTTTTTCACTACTTACACATTTCACCTCTTTATGATTTAGGAATAATGAGTTTTTAAGGGGCGTTGATTACCTATATTTACCTATATTTATCTACTTATATGTAATCATAAATAAAAGTATGAATATATTATGTTTTCTTGATTATTTTTAATCTTAAATAGCTTTCTCCAATTATAAAATTATGGTATAATGAAACATTTGTTTCTCAGATAAACTGGCCCAAAATAATCTTATATCAAAAAAATATGTACTAATTTTTTGAAAATTTAAGAATGTGGCCAGTTCACTTTGATATATAAGGGGTTTAACATTGATAATTTGATATATAAAAAGTTTATCATTGATATATAATAGTATAGCATTAACAAATGTAATAAATTAACTATAATGCAAAATATAATAAATGTTAGATTGTTTGTTTAATTTGATCCTATAACATATGCTATATATGTAAAAGCCCCTTGTTCCTCCATGTTTGTCTTGGTATATTAATTTGGTTCGTGAAATTTAAATTTCATCAATGAAGTGCTTGAAATTTCATGATTATACACAATTAATCCTTATTTTGTTATTCCTCTTTAAAAACATAAGGACTAATTTTGTATAGTTATAAAGGACTTGATTGATAGAGTTAAAATTTCAAAAACTAAATTGATAATTAAAATTAACTTGAAGGATAAAAATTTCCATCATTTTTAAAAATGGTTTAAAAATACATTGATAATAAATATTTAAAATAAAAAAAATCAAGTAAATATTTACCCCTATAAAATTGGCCCCCTTCACTTGCAGCCCTGGGTCTGTCCCTCGAAGCAACTACGCATTGTACAAACCAAATATATTTGTCAGTGAGCAAAGTGAAATCCTTCTACACTCCCAACTTAAATTTCGGCAAATTAATTTCATGACCATTATTAAGTATATTAAGGCGGAGCGTCTTCCCCTCCCGAGGAAAGAGGGTAATGACTGGGACGAAACTCAACAAAGCCTAAACTATTGGTCTTTCCTATACCCAGAGCGTCATCATGCGAGAATTTTAGCAAGCCCCCCCTTTTTTTTTACGTATAGTATTCGGTATCCTCGTTCACTAATTCACAAGGCCAAACTAATTCAAATTGAGTCAAGAAAGCTTATTTTTAAGGGTAGACTCTATCACACCCTGCTAGAGAAATTTTAGTAAGTCCTTGGTCATAAGAAAAGTGCAAAATAGCTAGAAAATTTAGTCAAGGATTATTCATTTTTCTCTAAAATATTAAATTAGTGAATAAATGAGTAAAAAATATTGATTTTGTAAGTTGATTGAAAATTAGTGAAGGATTATTAATTCTTTTATAAAAAATATAATTAGCGAGAAAAATAATGAGGTATAATAAAATGAGAGATTAGCGAGAGATTTAATAAGAGATTTTGTATTCCTCTATAAAATAAAATAATTAGCTAAAAAATTGTTAAGGCATTTTTTACATCTCTAAAATTAGAGATTAGCGAGGGTTTAGTGTGGGATTTTGTATTTCTTACTAAAATAAGATAATTATTAAAGCATTTTTAAAACTCTCTAAAAATATGTAATTAGCAAGAAAAGTAGTGAAACATTTTTTATACTCCCTTCATTAAAAAAATAAAAGGTGTTTTTAATCAAACCTCACCCTCCAATAAAGCAGTTACTTATCTTCAAATTAATTCTATTTTTTTACATTTATCATTATTTAATAAGGTGTTTTACCCTTTACTAAATATAAAATGATTTATTCAATATGGATACTTTTTAAAAAAGGCAATGATTACATCTTAAAAGATTAAAAATATCTTATATTTTTAAATATCTAGCTCTAAAAAAAATATTATATATTTTTTAACAAAGTGACTACCTCTCTAAATAAGATATAATTAGCAAGGAAATTAGTGATAAATACTTATACCCACCTAAAAATATATATTTAGTGATGAAAATAGCAATATATTTTTTTTATACCTTTTTGAAATAAAGTAATTATATTAGCAAGAAAATTAGCAAGATGATTTTATGACTATCTAAACCTAAAATTTGAGTTGTTTTTTTTTTTTACTTGAGCCTAAAATTTGAGTTAGGCGCCAATATTTATGCTACATTCCCCCTTTTTTTCCTACTTGAAAATTCATTCATTTTGAAAAATCCCTCCCAAACATTGGTTAACTCTCATTGCTTAGTGTTAAGAGTGTGTTTGGTTGGAGGTCTTTGAAAGAGAAAGGAAGAGTGGTGAGAGGAGTTGCTTCCTTTCCCTTATGGTTGGTGTTTCATAAAAGAAGAGGAGAGAATCACCTTATTTAAATATAAAATTGAAAGGAAAGGGAGAGGAGTTTTAGCCCTTTCCTCCAATTTGAGGATTTTTTGAAGGGGAGAGGAGAGAAAAAATTATAATTAAATTATTTATTTATTATTTTAAAATTTTTAAACTATGTTTGATGTTAAAAAATTATATATTATTTTTTCCCCTCTTTCTTATAATTAAAATTTTATCACTTTACAAAAATTAATATATAATTTTTATTGTCTTTTAATATTTCTTTATTATATACACCTATAAAATATAATATTAATGTATTTATTCTTCAAAAAATGTTATTGATATAAGTTAATATATTAAAACAATAAAATTACTAAAATATAATATAACTATATTTAATAATAAATTAAAATAAGAAATAAAAATTAACTTAAAAATGATAAGAATAAAATTATTAAATTATTATTGGTTCCCCTTTCCCTCCCTCCGAACCTAGATAAAGGTTGATTGAAATCCCCCGTCCAACCCTTCCACTCCTTTGAACCCAAACACACACACACTGTTCCTCTTTTACTTTCTCGCTGTCTCTTGGGTTCACGCCGCTCTTGGGCACAATTCCTCCTTCGGCGATGCTGTTCTCCTTGATTCCTCCTCTTGCGACGACGATCCCCTCGGTTACTTCTCCTGCAATGGCCTTCTCATTGGTTTCTCATGACGGCATTCTCAACACAAAACCCCTAATCGGCATGCTTTCTTGTAATCTCTCTCACTCTTTCCCTTCTCCATTTCCCGCCTCTCTCATCAAACCCTAGTCACATGTTTTTCTGATTCTCTCCCTCTCTCCCTTGATTCTTCTTCTCTTAATCTATCTTTTTTACTGTCTATTACTTTAGTCTCAAGCCTTCGCGATTCGGTTTGCACAATGGTTTTGTATTTGGGTCAGGGAAGCTTCTGCTCAAGGTTAGTTGGCTTTCCATTGTGATCTATATGATGCTTTTGCTATTTGTAAATAGTCACTATATGATGTTTCATTCATCTTTACTACCAAAAACTAGAGCTTAGTTTGCTAACTGTATCGGTTCTTGAATCTTGACATATCTGGGTTGAAGTATAATCCTCTCCTTTTGCCTGTGTACTTTCTCAGTGCCATACCCTTTACCTAATAAACTCATCTCACGTCTTCTAAGCTTGCATATATTTTACATACTGTAGCTATTTTGAGTTGGTGTTTCAAAATTTTTAGGATATGATTTTGATCATAATATTGTGTCTGTGTTTGTGCATTTTAGTATGCTTTAGCATATCAACATTTAGATTTAGACTAACCTGAGATTGTAATTTTAATCTTGTTCTAGAATATTCAGAGAGAAACCCCCATCTTGGAGAAGAACCTATAGATATTGAGGATGGTGAACATTGTAAAGATTCGGGCCATAGGTTCCTGCTGTTGTGCTTAATTTTTTTCGTATGAAATCACAACATTTGAATTTGATTGTTTAATGCCACTTTGCCTTTTGTTTTTCTTTCAACCAACTGAAATTTTCAAGCGCTTGGACTCTCATATGTTTCACATGGCTTGTCTTTACCTCAGGTGTCTCTGCTACTTATCAAAAGAACTTCACAAGGTTGCTAAAATAGTGTTTGCACCATACAACTATCTTATTGATGGTGGGTATAGAAAATCTCTTAATATTTCTTGGGATTATAGCATACTCATATTTGATAAAGCTCATAACCTTGTAAGAATATATGTTACAAAGTTGTGATTGGGGGTTTGATTTTCTCCATAGATAGAACTTTGAAATGTTTCTACTACTTATGTTGTTTTGTTCTCTTAAAATTCAAGAGAAAATAGATAAAAGAAGTCTTTGAATGTGTGTATGTCGTATCCTTATTAAATAATAAATAACTAATTTGGCGAGATAATAACTAAATATAATAACTTATTTGAATAACTAACTCTGAAGATAATAACTAATTTACAATTTAAGCAACTAACTAAATATTTATCACATATTCTTACAGTCCTCTTTAGTTCTGTGTTCTGCATTTTTTATTTACATTTTGCTAATGTGATTCGAATTTTCTTGTGATTAATCTCTTGTTGACTTTCTATCTTTATGCAGGAAAGCTTATATGTTGATGCTGCCTCTTTTGACTTGCCTTCTTGGCTTCTAACAGCTTGCATTTCTGAGGCTCAAAGTTGTGTTGGCCTTTGTATAGACAGAAGAGACAAATTGAATGATAAGTCACGGAATCCTAATGATTTTGCTATCCTTAAAGGTGAACTTGATCCTTAAGAGTATGCTCTTGAAGGTTCCTATTTATATGTGATGATGTCAAGATCCATAATTTTTGTTGTTTTTGTTCCATTATTGAGGGCTAGCTATATAATATAATGCTTGCTAGTTGCTGGTTATATTTGTGTTGAGGCAGGAAACTGCATGTACATGATATTTCCGTGTTCTAAATTTTTGTCTAAACGCTGAGACTTGTAGTGCTTTTGCTGGCTATAATTACTGAAACTATCTCTTGTAATGATTTTCGTTGGCTATAATATAGTGCTGGAAATTTATTTGAGATGTGGGATTAAATTTCATGTTTCCATTTATTTTTTTGAGTAGGTATGCAATTGCTAATGCACGCTCTGATGGGCTTCTACTCTGTGGAGGAAGGGATGCCAATAGTGTGGTGAGTTGTTTGTTTTGAATTTTACATTTACTTATTCTTTTGATTTAGTTTACCTAGGAAGTCTTGCATTTATTTTATGTTTACTTATGCTTCAAAATCTGCTTGCTACTGATCTTTCGAGCTATAGTTTAGATGGAGGATAGCTTTTTTTTTTTTTTTTATATTTCTGTTTGGTTACTAGGCTTTATTTCTGGATAGTGTTTATGTAGGCGTCTTTTCTTGGTTTTAATGATATTGAAAGATCTTTGCTTTGTTGGCAGAAAAAAGTACGCAGAAAGTTCCTTTTTTCATAACTGACTATATCTATTTAAGAGGCTTTCTTTTTTTTCCCCTCTTTAAATTATTATGAATATGTACCCTGGTAATGTTCTTTCTGCCATGTTCTTTAAAAAAAAAAAAAACCAAAAGAGGGGAAACAAAACAGAAATTACAAAGCTAAGTTCACAAGCTCTTATGATAATCACAAGTTACAACTAAAGACATCTTTTTTGTGTCCAGCGTGCTAATTATTAATCACGTCATCCTTCACGACGGGCTAAATGTGAAACAAATATACATCAGATCACTTCTTGCTGCACATGCATATCAGCAGGCGCATTTTCCTCTAATATGTATAACTTTGTCCTAAATAAAAGAAACTATGTTTGCATTTAATTAGTCAAGAAGTTTCTTTTATTTAGGACAATTAAATAGGCCTTTTATACTGTTATGGCATCAAGTGGTCACTTTCCATGCATAGTTTGTTAATTTTTGGAATCACTAAGGTGGGTGGAATCACTAAAAACCATCGATTTTTATTTTTGAAAGCTATTTATATGTGTCATTAATTTAATTGTTGACAATGTCTTTAAACTACTTGTTGCAGAGATCATATCATAAATGAAACAAAGATGATTTGACATGCCTTTGAAGCTATTAGAACAAGACATATTCTAGGCTATTCGAATTTTGGGTTAAAGGGTCTCAACTCCACTATAAAATATTAATAGCTCAAATTTCTCTACACAACAAGATTCTAGTCATGATTTTCTAAAATAACTTTTGTATGAAGTGCCTTGAACTTTCTATACATGTACTCTTTTATATTTTGTTCAATTCTATGCATGAAATGATTTGAACTTTATAATCATAATTGATGCAGTATTAAACTTTTGTTATGTTAATGTGATTATAGATTTTTGTTAGAAATTTGAATGGAAGATTAGTTGTGGCTATATAGGAATCCAAATATCAAAATTTGCAAATTGACAAAAGATCTAATAAATTAATTTAACAAGGTATTAGCTAGGGATTTAAAAAAAAAAATTAAAGTTTTAGTGAGGAATTTAGCAAGAATTTAATTCCTCCCTGAAATTTGTGACAGACATATCCCTCACAAATCGTAGTTAAAAGATTGTTTATTTTAGTGAGGACAATGTCCCTCACTAATATTGCAAGGAATGCATGTCCTTGCTAATCCCTAGCTAAAGTAGATAATATTTTCAAGTCTTTAGCGAGGGATTAGAATGAATTATGGTCATTGCTAAATTTAGCTAGAGACAACATCCCTTGCTAATACAGTCCCTTATTAGATTTAGTAAGCTTGTTTTTTGCAATGAAATTAGTGAGACAGAATTCCTCACTAATTGCCATTTAGCAATTGACTAAGGCCTAGAGCTGATAATTCAAGCCCAGCCCAAGGGTTAACTCGAATAAGCCTGAAAAAAGTTTAGGTTGGGCCTAACATTTTGGAAAACAAGTGATACTTCAGGCCTATTCGGGTAACCCGAATAAGCCTAAAAAAATTTGGGCTAAGCCTGAATACCATTTATCTTGTTTTTTTTTTTAAAAGCTAGTTGCCCATATGTTATGTCTAACATCCGAAATTTTAAATTTTTAAATTTCAAGTGGTTGGAGGGTAATTTGGTCAAAAGTTATTTATGCACTAATGATGTTTTTGGAATACTAGCAAGGTTTTTGAACCTTTAGATAGCTTCAGAAATGTGCGATGATGGTGTACGGGTCATTCGAGCTCGAGCGGTTGGCCATTTGGGCATATGGCATTTGCCGTGCTATGTGTCGTGGTGCATAGCCATTTTTTGAATTAAATCTAACGCAAAAATACGTTTGATTTTAGAAGGCAAAAGAAAGAAAAAAGAGAGGAGCGATGGAGGAAGAACTCTGGGTGCTAGGGCTTGACATTGGGAGATATTTGAAAGCATTTTGGGCAAGATTCATCCTTGAGTAAGCTTCCTATATCTCTTCCTTTTCCTTTATGTGAAATTTCTAAATGTTTGGGGCAATGTGGGACTTGATTTTGGTTTTTCTTGGGTTGTAATTGAACCCATTGCTTTAGTTAAGGTTTTGAAAAATTAAATCAAGCTTCTAAACCTAATTATGTGGGGTTTGTAGTGATTTGAAATTTTTGGCTTGGGTTTAGACAAACCCTAAGTGAAATTTGGGAGTTTAAGAGCAATGTGGGAAGAGGGTTAGTGTTATTAGTGTGTTTGGATGTTAAATGGAGTTAATGGAATGCAATGGAAGTGTTAATGGTGTTAAAAATGAAATTTTGGATATAGAGGATATTCAAAATTTAGTGGTTTAAGGGGGTTATTTGAGTGAGAATTGATGATTAAATGTTTAATCTTGTAGATTAAATATTGATATGGCGTTGTTAGCTAGTGGACACAAGTAGGACTATTGATTCACTACGATAACTTTTTTAGTGACAAAAGGGTTGAGGTAATTAAATTATTTAAATTTTTTATTTGCTTGTTTGGAGGATTCCAGTAATTGTGAAAGTTAATATAATTGTTTTGGATTAATATAGTAACAATATGAATAATGATTATGATTTATAAAGCTTATGTGAAGTGGAATAGATAACTATGTTTTGCACATTATGGTTGTGAAAGCTAAATCCTATGTTTATGTATACATATTTGTAAAATTTTATGATTTATAGTGGAAATAATTATTATAGCGTAAACTATATGTTTATAGTTATGTTTGAAGTTGATGAGCATGTGTTTGGCATGATCATTGTGAGAGGGTGTGAGTTCACTATAGTGTGGTGTTAGGAACTTTAAAAATTTATATGGTATACTGGCATTGTGGAGGCCCTGGTACATAGTTTTATATTTGTTTGGAAGTCCCAATACTATTTAAGATGGGTTGGGCATATGACACTGTGGGTATTCGTGGAAAGGAAAATCTGTGGTCTGTAATAGGTGAAGGTGTCCTTGGCCAGGATTGCCTCCTATGATTGGTGACCTTGAGCCAATCTAGTCACATGGATTAGGTTTTATCTAATTGTCAGTCCACAAGTTCAGTTAGAAGAAATAAGGGGAATATAAAGCAGTGTGTTGATTATGCATCTCTATGCATAGCTATGTATGTATGTGTATGTACTTATCATATATGTTTTAAATGCCAATTCATATACTCACTAACTATTCTTACAGGTGAAGATTCGAATAGGAGCAAGTGGAAAGAAGGTGCTACGGAGAATTGAGGGATTTGAATTTGTATACTCCTCTCACTCTACCTTTTGGTTTGTAATGAATTTATAATGATTATGCCAACTTAAGATCATATGTCATTTTAGTGGTCACTTGTATGATTATTATTGTAAATTGTGGGTATCTCGACCTGAAATATTGTAATTGTAATGTATTAGTTGTGAGAAGTTGAGATACTAGTGCAAGTATTATTTTTATATTGATTATGTGTTTGAATGGCCAGGGGAGTGATTATTGTGAATTGTTGTATCCCTTGGAATTATGTTGAATTTGGGGGTTTTGATGGCTAAATCTAGTATAGAATCTTATTGTGGTGATTTAATTATGCAATCAGGTTGTTTGTGGCTCATTTAAGTTAGTTCAAGTGGTTCAAAGATTATTGGCACTAGTTTTATGGGTTTGGACACCCTTGTTTTGAAAGGAAAACGTATCAATTTAGGTTTCGATGTCCAACTTTGAAAAGGTTAAGTGTTTGGGTGTGAGATTGATGCTAATAGCTAGGTGGCTCCAAAAGCTATGTGTAGATGCTTGAATTACTCAAATCAAACATCAGATTATGAAACAATGTGCTCTGGAATTGGTCTTAGAGTATTGTTATGACAACAAACAAGGCTGCATTGCAGTGCACTACACAACGAGAGTCTTAGGCTTTCTGTGCCATCCACCGTGGTGGGTAAGGCCTGCGCTGTGGTGGATGATGAATTTTTGAAGAATTTTTAGTACTCTTTTGAGGTATTTAAAGGTTGAACTTTCTTTCTTTGCTTTCGCTATTTTGTGTTATTTGTTTTAAATTATAATTTGAGTTCAAATAGCTTTTTAAAAAGGTTTTTTGGGATTCCATTCTTTTTAAACTAATTTTTTAAACCCTTGTGTTATGATAATTTTATACAAAAAATTTAATTAATTCTAGTAATCATAACAGTCTTGTCTTGTGTGTTTGGTAATGTTAGAGAGAACATTACAATATGATATTAGTTTCACATGTTGCGAGATTGGTATATCGTGATTGATGTGTTTGATTGTATGGTGTGTTGCATTCACGTGTAGTAACTAGCGCGCGCGCACACAATATATATGTATTCGTTACACTTATCTTTTTTTTATATAGTCGTCTAATTGTCTACTCACTCTTCTTGTGGTTACTTTCATCTTTAAGAGGGGAGAGAGGATGGCAAGAAGACAATTAATTAGAACTGCTATTGGTGGTAACTCGTCCAACATAAATGGGGTGCTTGAGATAAATGAGCTATCGTCAGAAAATCATATTTTTATGGGTTAAAACTTTGAACAATTGAGGAATGAGCTGTAAGATAATGAGCTTTACTAAGGGAAATAATGGATATGATGAGAGAAATTCGCAGCACCATGAGGGGACAAGGTGCACCAAAAAATGAAGGGGCAAGAGGCAATAATAGAACTATTGAAAATAAAGAGGACATGTATGATGAGGAAGATAAAGCATATGAAGAAAGTACATTTAAGTAATTTGCTATGGTGGTAGTAGTTCTCAGAACTCTATGGACCGAGCTTGGAAGAGCTTTTCATGATTCCTTCTGCCTACTTTTGACAGGACAATGAAAGAAGAAGTCGAAAAGTGGATTGAATGGATTGAGACCATTTTTGAGGTAGTACCTTGATCGGAGGAGCAGGTGACTTGGGCTTTAGTGTTATTTGTGAAGGAGGTCAAATATTGGTGGAAGTCAGTGAGATTGACAGGTAGAGTCAAATGGACTTACGAAGAGTTCAAGTTACAGTTCTTCAATTCCTACTTTTCGGTAGCCTTCAGAGCTGAGGAGGTTGAGTTTTATGAGTTCAATTAAAAATACTTAGACAAATAGGTTTTCATATCGAAGTTCAACCAACTATTCAAGTACTCCACTTATCTCATGGGAATTATGATTTGAAGTGAAAAGTAGAGAGATTATTTGAGAAGATGAGGTCAGAATATTGGCAAGAGTTAGCATTATTTGAGATTACCTCGTATGGTGAAATGTGCAACAAGTTGAGAACAACGACGAGAAAGAGTAGAGAGGCAAAGATAGAGAAGAGAAGGGATAGCCAAGGTAGGTTTTCACAGTCTCTTGGCCCTACTAGTGGGGTGAGCAATATATTTGATTTTAGCTCTTTTAGTTTTGGAAGCTTTGGCTAGAATACATTTCAGAAGGAATCTCAATCCTAAGGTTCATTTCAAGGAGCAGTGAATTTAAGAATAATGTTGGAGCTTTACAGCTGTCTCAGCAAGCTTCCACTGTGCTTGTCCCTACTCTTAGCAGCATCAAGACCCCACAGTGCATCAAATGTGGAAGATATCATATGGGTAAGTGTTGGACTTGCTTCAAGTATGACAAGATGGGGCATATAGCCAAATATTGTGAAGAGAGTAGAGTGGGTACCATAGATCAGAGATCTACTATCCTTGAGAGGCTACTTGCGTTGTCCTAGGAGGAGGTTAGTATGTCTTCAAATCTGATTAGAGATAAGATCTCTTTACATGGTTATGATATTGATTAATTGTTTGACTTGGCTGCTACTCATTCTTGCATATCTAATGATTGTATGTTGAGATTAAAATTGTTTGCTCATACCTTGCCCTATATGATAAATGTATCTATGTCGGTAGGAGTTTCTATAAAAGTCAATCATGCTTGTTGGGAGTGGATCCAAAGTTTGAAAATAGGTCAACTACTATAGACTTGATTTGTTAGCCTATGGTTGGAATTGATGTGATAGTGGGTATGGATTGATTGTCGGCTGACAATGTGACATTAGACTGTGCAAGAAAGATGATATCATTGCTTATGTACACTGCACCTACAATGAAACCTAATCAATCAAGATTTTTGTTTGTGATGCAAGTAAAAAAGTATGTCCAACAGAATTGTCAGGCTTCCATGATATTTTTTTCGGTTCATGCTGCCAAAATGAGTAATGAATGTGTCGTTGGAGAATTCTTTTTGACTTAGTCAAATATACTTTTTCTAGTTTTCAGACACGGTTTATTGTTTGAAGTACTGTCCACGTAGATGTAAGGAATGTGGTTTGATACCAATATCGTTTATTTGTTTCTCACGTCCAAATAAAAAAAATATTTATTTTTTATTTTATATTAAAGAGCTTCATCTAGCCCCAAGATTTCTTAATTATTAATTTATTACTCTTTAGATATTATTTATAAATTATTTTTAATATTTAATATTTTCATTTAAATCAAGAGAAACATTTAGTATTATTAACTCTATTTAAAAATAAAATAAGATTTCAACTTTACTCTTATTAAATATATATATTTAAAATATAAAATACTCTAATATTTAATAATCTTTAAAATATTTAATAAGAAAAAAATTTAAATATGAATATAATAATTATTAAAATATTTTATAAATAAAATTAAAATAAAATTATATTTTTTATAAATAGGGCCAAAATAATTATTTTATATTCTATAAATAAGATGAAAATAATTATTCTTTTTAATCATATAAATATAATAAGAGGAGTATGTAATTAATTGTTGAAAATATTGTGTTTAAAAATAAAAGATTAAACTAAAATGTCTTATATTAATTAATATAAGTATGTGTTAATTATTTTTTGTTAATATAAATTATGAGGAATGATTTAAACAATTATAATAAATACTTATTCAAATAGATAATTTTATTTAGATAAAAAAATAAAAAGTGATAGCTTTTTAGTAAATAAGAACAAAATGAGCAATGAATGTGTCGTTTGAGAGTTTTTTTTTTTTTTTTTGACTCAGTCAAATATACTTTTTCTAGTTTTCAGACACGGTTTTTTGTTTGAAGTACTTTTCACAAAGATGTAAGGAACGTGGTTTTATACCAATATCGTTTATTTGTTTCTCACGTCCAAATGAAAAAAATATTTATTTTTTATTTTATAATAAGGAGCTTTATCTGGTGTCAAGATTTCTTAATTATTAATTTATTACTCTTTAGATCTTATTTATAAATCATTTTTAATATTTAATATTTTCATTTAAATTAAGAAAAACATTTAATATTATTAACTCTCTTTAAAAATTAAAAAAATATGTTAACTTTACTCCTATTAAATCTATATATTTAAAATATAAAATACTCTAATATTTAATAATTTTTACAATATTTAATAAGAAAAAAAGTTAAATATGAATACAATAATTATTAAAATATTTTACAAATAAAATTATTAGAAATATTATCTTTTTTATAAATATGGTCAAAATAATTAATTTATATTTATAATTAAGATTAAAATAATTACTCTTTTTTATCGTATAGGAGTATGTAATTAACTGTTACGAATATAACTTTATCATGACAATTGAACAAGTAAGGCTGTAACTTTTTGGGAAAACCAAGGTTTTATACTGTAGTTACAAAATTAATGACGGAAGAGTGAAGTTGTACTTGGACATGTGATTTAGCTCATTTCTTTTCCACATTTAGCATTTTATTTTCCTTCCATTTACCCCATCCAGTTTTTATTCAATGAGAAGTAATTAAGTTATTAATTAAATATAAAAATATAATAAATTTTTTACTTTATTATTATTTAAACTGTTTTGTATTTCATTTGAATTTATGAATAAATTAATATAATTTTATAAGTTAAAAATATAAAAATGTTAAATTCATAGAGTCAATTCAAGAGTTTAACAACTATAGTTTGATCTATTAAATTTATTTTAGTTATCAATTTAATTTTTATTATTTAAAAAGAATGCAGTAATGTTAAAATCTATTGAAATGAATAACAGAATATTAATGAAAATAAAAGTAATATAAATTAGTAAAAATGTAATTAAGATACAAAAAAAGACTCAGAAATTTAAAAAAATAAAAAAACAAAGCTAATGAAAGAGACTACATTGATAAAATTATTGAATTAATTTGAGAGCTAATTTATTCTTATTTAACTACATATACAT